ACTAATTAAAAAGTGAAATTTACCTTTAATACCATTATTGACATTGCTGTTAAGAAGGGCAGCGACTTGTTTGACTCCACCGAGTTCTGTCAACAATTCAAAGTTTTTCTCTTTCACCATCTCGGTGAGAGTTTTCTGTTCTATGTTGAAAACAGGCTCATCGCAAGGATGCTCGCTCTGGCTACCTTCAGGGACATCGATGGCAATGTAAGAAAGAGAGCGCAGAAGACCTTTCTTGGAGTCAGGAGCTTTCTTGGACAAAGCTAGAAGTGCCCTCGTGAAGTATATGGCAGTGTAGGCCATCCGCCACCTCCGCTTGTGGCGGTTTGCCGGCAATCTGGAATCACTGACATCATCTTGGGGTATGGCGGATGCCATTAGGATCGCTTTTCGGGGCCTCAGGAGCATGATAAAGAGGAGAAAAAGCAGTCGAAACGGTTGGAAACACAGAAGGGATGTGCAGTAGGGTTTGTGGAGAAGGAATGAATTTATATGGAGGAGAGGAATGAGGAAGGCATGATTTCGAGGAAAGGATTAGGAAGGTGCAAAGTAGGTTCCTTGCATTGAAACGCTAAGTCATTCGTAAAAATACTGAATTAATTGAAATATATATGTATATATAATTTCTTCTTTTTTTTTTTTTTTTTTTTATTAATCATTTGCTCGATATATATCAGAGAGGTAAATTTATTTTATGGAGTACAAAGGGTACTCTGCCATTACAAAAACAGTATCATCAAGGATATTACAAAGGACCACGCCAACTGAAGCTTCACAAATCAATCAGCAGAATAAATTCTAAATAATCAATTTAAACACAAAATGGACAGACAAACAATTTCATGAAGATAACGACTTTCCAGACTGCTGCACCACAATGGAGTATCTCGCACCCCTCCAATCTTACTCTGTCGCCGAACCTTTCTGCTGTTTATGTAACAGCTTCAGCTCCCGTTTATACCTTCTCATTGATAGAGCACACCCAACTGGAATTACTTTCCACTCATGAAAAGAAAAGACACAGCCTTGCACCTTGTTTTTGATCCAGAAGAATGACTTGGCTTGAATCATTTCTAATAGTCTTCCTCTAATGTTATCTCCATTATTAAACACCTTACCATTTCTCAAATACCATAAATACCATGATATAATTTCTTCTTATTAATTGATTAATTGATATAGTATATAATTTGTCCTTATCTTAATCTATTTTAATTATATTGTTTCTATCTTAAAATAATTATTTTTCTTTTTTATTTTGAATTTGTTACGAATTAATTGTTTTTTTTTAAATAGATATTTTTTTCTACTTTAACTCTATCATTATTTATTTATTTTAATTAATTATCTTATTACAAATAAATTCATTTTATATTTTAACTTTTTTTTTAAGAATAATATAGGTAAATATAAAAATTATTAATATGGAGGGAGAGGGAGAAGGTTAAGGTGAATGTAGGATATAAAAATATATATATAATGATAAATTGTTGAGTGAAAAGTTAATATATGGAGTCAGAGGAAAAATAATTTGAAAAGTGAAATAATGAAAGTGATTGAAAAGGTAATAAGAGAATAATACTAAAAAATTATACCTTTTAAGTTTTGACATAAAATTTTTTAAATGAAAATACGTCAAAATAGGGAAGAAAAAAAGAAAAAGAAAAAGGAAGGAAAAGAAGATATTTAATAATAGATAAAGATCTAATTGATGTTTGAAAAACAATTATAGAAATGAAGGTATAATAAAGACAGTAATATGTAGGGCAAAAATATAAATATAACAATATAAAATGTGAAAAGAGAAGCAAAGCGATCGAGTCTCAATACAATTAATGAGAGATAAAATAATAATAATAAATAAATTATAAATATAGAGATGGATGCTATGATTTACATAATCAAAATTTTTAATCCACAAGTTAGATCTTAATTAAATATGCCACCTTGAAAGCCCTATTCTCCAAAATACTTTTTCTATATATATATAAGTATATATTAATCTCAATTCCTAAATATAATTAGAGTGTCAACCTTAAATTAAGTAATTTTATTTCAAATTTAATTCAAAATTTTAAAAATAATCTTGTTAGATATTGATATATTAAAATATATAATGAGTTTTCAAATTTAAATATCAACATTTAATAGGATAAAATTTCAGTTTATAAATAAAAATTGAAACTTTAATTATTTTTTAAATTGAAACTAATA